TTCCACTATAAACTGCTGTTGGAAACATGGAATTTGTTTACATACCAATAAATACCATGCAGGAAACTGATGAAGTGGTGCCCAGCCCGGCCAGGTCATGGCCGGAGCTGAACGAACGAGCCCTTGGGAGTGGGACTGCACGCATTCCCGAATGCATGCTGACGCAACCGAGTCAAGTCCGTCTGCTCGATCGGGGCATGTGGCGATCACGTGCGCGGATTCCATGCCTCGGCTAGCTGCGTTTTCGGGCTATGGAAAGGCCACTAGGTACTACTGTAGCAAGCAAGGCAAGCGTATTATTGCCGTTTCTTTTGCGGGTCGCCGTACGGCCATCTTCGAAAACCACAGCTGACACATGGGATGGGGAGCCGCGTCTGAACAGAGCACGGCCAGCCTTCGCCACCTCACAGTCACAGGCAGGCTCCTGCTCGCTGCTCGGAGTGGCCTGGGTGCTGCTGCTCGGAGTGACACATGGGATGCGAGCAGGCAGGAACGTGGTTGTTTTAGAGAGAGTAATAGATCAGGCCCGATCCGTTCGTATGCGTGGATGCTGTCATGCATGTTTGCTTCAGAGAAGGGTTACTGGATTAGCCATGATAACTGAGAAACGTAGAATGCTGATAAACGGGTAGCTGTGTTTTCAGAACCTTTGCTCGGTGGTAATTAAAGATGGCAACGGGCACAGAATGCCCGCATGCCCACGGGCATGGATCCGGCAAGGATACGGGCACCATCCTGAATCTAGAGGATAGTTCTTAGCGGGCAAAGAAATTTGCTATCCTCGTCCGCTTATCCACCAGACCCGCTCCACAGGTCTAACATGTGAGACCTATAAGCAAATATATGTATATATACACGATTTGTTGTGAATATGTATTTTCATATCTCTTATAATGCACTATGGTTTATGTATATGCTCAACCTGGCGGGTACACGGGCATGCCCGCGGGCATTTCATGCCCGCGGATGGAGGGCGCGGGCGTGGTTTGTTGCCCGTGGCGGGTCGCAGGCGCGGGCGCGGGCGCGGGCACAAGAAGGTAGTATCCGCGGGCATCACGCCCGCTGCCATCTTTAGTGGTAATTGGTAACCGAGACATGCATTATTTTGGCATGGGCCAGCACCAGACTCCTCGAGTCTGGAGAGAAGCCAAATATGATCAGGGAGTATTAGCCTGTTCGGTTGACTGGTTCGTATCGTTGCTGGTTCGTTTATGTGAGCGAGAAGTACTGCTGGCTGGTTCATTGGAACAGTGTCTATGTGAGGGGGCTGGCCAGCCCAGCCAGCCAGCCAGCCCCAGCCGAACACGGCGTATATTTTTGTCTAATGTGAGTGCCCTAACAAACTGTATGATATCTTTGAATAATTCCAGGAAAGTCAGCTTGGGCGCGCCAGCCAGCTATGACGGCAACGCCGCTGCTGCATACTGCTTCACCGCTTCCGAGCAAGATCCGCTGGCGTTGGTGCTGCGGGCATGCTCGGAGCCTCCCGCGTGGATCGACCCGATGCTGGAGGAGTTCGCCGCCTCGCACGTGGCGAGCCCCCCCCCAATAGAAGCGTGCTCATCTGCTCCGGAGGGTGCCTCTCAGGAAGCGGACACATCACTGGTGGACACCCGCTCTCCGGTGAAGACTGCACAAGGGATGACAGACTCGCCTCCGTCGTCGCATGTGCAGGGGCCACCACAGGTCACGCTGTCGCCTAGGGGGGGGACCCGGCGTCGTGGATCCCGTGACGTGCCTTTACCCAGCGCTGGTCGTGGCTGCCACTTCGGGAGGCACGACGGTAGTGGCTGCCACAGACGTCGTCAACAGCACTCCATCCCCTCAGACGGACTCCGCCAACCGTTGCCTCAAGAGCTTCATCAACCGAGTCACGATGGCGAGGCAGCCGCCGCTCCTGGAGCTGCCCGGATATGATTCGACCCTCGACAGACGTCCACCGCCCGCGCTCCCCAAGAGGAGCAGGCAGATAGCGGCGTAGAGCCTGTCCCACATCCCGGTGTCCAAGCGAGGCGAGCATCTTGTCTTGAAGGGATTGGGACTAACCAGCGGGATGTCGACTCCGTCCACGTCGACGATGAAGGCGTACGAAGAAATCTACGGAGGTGGCCCCGACCCCGGTCACATGGAGGCGCTTCGTGAGTTGTTCCCGCGCTGACGGCGACGTGGGTGCGCGCAAGCGGCCCCGCCGCCGCTCGGTTGCGCGGGCATAGGTGTCCTAGCCGGCGTCTCTTTTCGGGTTGATCAATTTCCAATGTAACACCATAGATTTCAGTACATTAGGGTGGGTCTGAGCGTACATGTACAATTCTCCTGACCCCATGGGGCGTCGCTAAGGCGTGTTGTATTAAACTTTTTCTCTATCTTAATACAAAGACGCACAAGCCTTTTGCGTGATCGAGAAAAAAAAACACATAATATATGATTAGAGAGGCTACATACATACAGGATATGTGTATAGAAGGATCCTAGTCATCCTAGGGACAAGAAATCATTCCATGGATACCTGAAACCATGCTGTCATGGCATGGCTTTGATTTATATTATTCCGAGGAATTGAAATCAGGATGAGCCATTTCTTGAACAACATGACCAAAACTATTTCTCCCCTTCAATATTAACAATCATCAAACAAATTAGCAAACGACAGAAACAAACAACGAATCTATCTACTAGGCGCTACTGTGCAGTTCTTTATGCACAGTTAGGTGATCTTAATTGCTGCTGTCTATCTGGCTGATGAAGAACTTATGTACATACAATCATGAAACCTCTAAACAAGGACACCATCAAGATTTCATTCCAAGCACCGCAATATTTGCAAAAGGCTATTTTATTCTCCTTTGACTCTCTGGAGATTAAACCATTTGAAGCAGAGCAGGCATGAACCGCATGAACAGACCACACACCCATGCGCGGTGTGCATGGCTGTTAAAATGGGGTTTTCTTTGGATTTGATTCTTTGCAAAGGACATCTTAGTTACATTTGACCACGATAAACAAACGGCTCCGTCGACGCCCTGCCCATGTTATGCGAGTCGCTTCACGATCAGCGAGATTTTATTCCACCGACCTGCAGCTACGAACAGGTGAGATCGAGCAGGCCGGTTATAAGAAAACAACGAACAGTGCGCGCAGAGAGAGGAAGGGAATTTGGGCATTGTCGATGGGCTCACCAGCTTGTAAGGCCCATGATGAAAACCCAAGTCACGAGAGGCCGAGCTGGACAGCCCATTGGGTACTTCAGTTGTTGGGCTAGCTGCCAGTAACTGGACGTCTGAACCATGATTACCCATTCGTGTTACCTCCCCAATTTGTTCATCTGTTCTTCCTAAAAGAATCATTATTTGATCTAAAGTTGGGCCAAGTCCAATTAAATAAATAGCTTGCACATTACCATTGGTATACGATCACTGTAAAACAAATTGTGTCATGTTACAATTCACGGGTATATTTACTAGTTGTTGTAAAAACAACATTCCTTACTCCCTAGTCCCTTGTCACCCTTTTTGTTATCTTTAGTGAGGACAACCCCTTGTATTACGCAAAAAAGGGGGATTTTAGCTTTTAGAGGTACTTCAGCATATTAGCGGATGTGCCGATGTATCAATATCAAGCAAATTGTTATTTATGATCGTGCTAGGCAACTACCTGATTTGCAATCATGAAGTAACAACAGCGGTCATGCCCAGGGTTGATTTATGGTAAATTGCAATTTTCAACCTTCAACTTGCATGAGAGTGAGATTTTCAACCCTAAACTACGTAAATGGGTATCGGACACCCTCTAACTGTCGAAACTAGACAAATTTAGTCTTTTAGCTGGTTTCAAAGGTGAAATTTCTATTTTATAAAATAATAAAAATCTAATTTAACCTCTAAAGATTCATGACTAATCTATTTTAAATAAGAAAAATATGGAACTAATTCCATTTTTTAAAAAATTGCTATCTAACTTTTGGTTATCTATTTACAGTTATTTGGAACTTATTTATACCCGTTCTTATTTGTTTATTGCTCATGGTCTAGTTAATTAGAGTCATGAACAAATAAGATTGAAATAATCTAAATAGAGCACCAATGAATAAATATTTTTTAGTAAAAAAATGGTATTAGTTTCACATTTTTTTGATTTAAAATAAATAAGTTATATATATTTTAGAGATTAAAATAGGGTTTTATTATTTTAGGAAATAGAAAACCATCTCTGAAATCAGCTAAAGGACCAAATTTAGCAGGTTTCGACAGTTGAAGGGTGTCCCGTACTCGATTTTGTAGTTCAGGGTTACAAATCAAACTCTCGTGTAAGTTGAAGGTTGAAAATACACTTTACCCTTAATTTTTTTAAATCTCTTTGTTTTCTGGTTGTGATATACTTCTAATTCGAAGGAGGAGTTGGAGGAGAAGAAGAAGAAGAAGTAGACCATGTCTTGTACGGGAGCCTGAAACTGAGTGAGAGGCTGAGAGTAGATCCTAGCCACTAGCTCACGGAAGCATCCGATGCTTCCACTCCACGTCTATCTCGCCATAGCCACAAATTATGGCCTCCTCGTTTTTGTATTTTTGGCACATAATACCAAGTAAACCTAGAGAAAATATCTTCTTATGGAGTAATTGATGTATTATATCCCTAATCTGTTCCAACATGCACTGTTTAGGAAGTACTCCACTCATTGTGAAAGTTACAACTCACACGTCAAACATACAAGCACTTTTGCTTAATTTTTCCTCATTTTTTGTGCAAGTTTAGCTATACTGTATGATTTCAGAAACAAAAAGTCATGGCGCAATTCAAAATTTAAACTCTTGATTTCATTTCCGCTCAAATGTGGGGCTTCATGCATTTTGATCCACTGAAATGTGGACCCCAGGCCACGTGTCAAACTCATCCATTCCACACGCTTGAATGGAATTATCTCGCGCACGATAATTCAAACTCACGGCCACGGAGGAATAGATAGCGCGAGCCGCATTTTCCAACCAGGAAAAAAAAAATCCGAAATGGCCGCTAGTGGCCTCGGCCTCTCCACCTCGTTCCTCCCCGGCCATGACACGCTCCTCCGGCGCCGGCGCCGGCGGCCGACGAGCCCCGCCGCCGCGTCGTTCCGGCCGGTGACAGCGGAGCTCGGAAGCGTCGCGACGGGGCTGGGCCGGCAGCTGGTGGAGGCGGTGGGCGTGGGGCTCCCCTGCACCGTCATGCAGTGCGGCGACGTCATCTACCGCAGCACGCTCCCCCAGAACGACGGGCTCACCATCACGGCCCCCGGCGTCGCGCTCGCGCTCGCCGCCGTGTCCTACCTCTGGGCCACGCCCGGCGTCGCGCCGGGGTTCTTCGACATGTTCGTCCTCGCCTTCGCCGAGCGCCTCTTCCGCCCTACCTTCCGCAAGGTGTGTTTCGCGCTTGAAATTCCGAATCATAAGTCCTCTATCGCGGTATCGCCACCGTTTGTGCTGATATGGTGCTTGGGCAGGATGACTTCGTGCTCGGGAAGAAGCTTGGGGAGGGCGCATTCGGGGTCGTGTATAAGGCGTCACTGGCGAACCCCGAAGCGGCTAAGAAGGTAAAGGCTAATGTTGCATCCGCATGCAAATATTCAATCCTGTAGAAGTTCGATTGCTAATCTACTCCACACTTACTGCTTGGCTTAGACAACAAAGTAGGTAGTCCTGACTCCTGAGAGAAATTAGGGGAGAAAATGGATGTACGTTCAATATTGTGACTGCACGATCTAAGTAGCTAACTGTGCACTATGTGGTTGTAGTTAATATATGGTAATCAGTTTCATAGTTTATTGACAATGTTGGATTTGAAGACTTCAGGTTTTCTAAAACCCTGGCAAATTTTGTGAACAAACGGTCATATGAATGGATATCTAAAACCTTTTGTTCATCTTTGAAGCAAGGGAATGTGGTCGTGAAGAAGGCAACAGAGTATGGAGCAGTGGAGATTTGGATGAATGAACGTGTCAGGAGGGCATGTGCCAGTAGTTGTGCGGATTTTCTTTATGGCTTTCGCGAGGTATACTCAGTCACAGTTCGTTTGTGTTGGAGAGTTGTTGTTTTTTTTTTTCTCCCAGTCCCTTTTTCTCAACAAAGGATAATAAGTTCAAAATGGTCTTAGATTTATATTTACTAGAATTTGGTTGATTCCTGAGGCATTGCATGTTGCCTTTTAGACCAAAGCAAAGGGCAAGGGAGCTGAAGAATACTGGATTATTTGGCGTTTTGAAGGCGAGGATACACTTTATGATCTCATGCAGAGCAAGGAATTCCCTTACAATGTAAGTTCTGCCATCCACCTTGAAAAAGTCTTGAGTCAGTCAAGTTACTCTGGTTGCTTAAACTTCATCTGAACCAGCTTTTTTTCTCATGTTTGTTGCGTTAGTTACTTGTTTGAATGAACTGCTGTTGATTTAACTGATGATTGCCACCTTGATGCTGAAATCTTCTCAGGTGTACTTTATGTCTACCTTGCACTGTGTTGACTTGCTTAGCTGTACTAGAATGATCAAGTTGATTAATCAGTTCCGTTGAACTTTATGTGTGATCAGTTGTGTTTGTTTGGAACTATGCTTGTTTAGCGAGATAAGTATGATCCTTTAGCTTATTAGACATTAGCCTCAGTTTGTGATCCACAGTCAGTGAGAGTAGTCAGGCATGTTTTTCTTTCTTTTTCTTTTTCTTTTTCTTTTTTTGTTAAGAATAGTCAGGCTTGTTTTATTGTCTTCCTTTTGTTAAGTTAGCATTGTCGTTGTATGGCAAATTTCAATCTTTCATACTTATCTATAGCTGAGAGACAAGTTAAACCTTCCATGTGATGCATTCTAACTTTTGAGTCAACTGAGAAGTCACAAATTTACAGTGGCATGGAGTAGCTGTTATATACTTAACAGAATAACAGCTGTGACTCGATTTTTTTTTCACCAATTAGGTGGAGACAAAAATTCTTGGCAATGTCCAGGACTTGCCAAAAGGAATAGCGAGAGAGAATAAGATCATTCAAACGGTGATGAGACAACTCTTGTTTGCTCTTGATGGACTTCATTCGACAGGCATTGTTCACAGAGATATAAAACCTCAAAATGTGATATTTTCAGAGGGTAATAAAAGGATCTCAGTTTGTTTGCAATTTCATGATAAAATATTTTGCATTAATTTGCAAATGTTTCTCTCTGGTAGGATCAAGAACCTTCAAAATTATTGATCTTGGAGCAGCAGCTGACTTACGAGTAGGAATTAACTATATTCCTAAAGAGTTCCTTTTGGATCCAAGGTACTGGCTACCTTCATTGTCAATAAGTGCATAACATGGCAACATCAAGGAAAATTCTCCACTAGGAAAACATTTTACCTTGCAAAGCTGTTTGTGCTAATGGTTTCACTAGAAAAGGTTGTTGAAGCTATAAAATTACCTGGCAGGTATGCTGCACCAGAGCAGTATATTATGAGCACGCAAACCCCATCTGCTCCTTCTGTTCCTGTTATGACAACTTTGTCTCCAGTCCTGTGGCAGGTTTCCTTCGAACTGATTTTCTTTTCATGTTTTTGAGATAATTGTTCCAATAAGGATAATTTCTTAAGCTTATACAGTGATATTTTTCGTTGACAGCTGAATCTTCCTGATAGATTTGACATATATAGCTTGGGGCTCATATTCTTACAGATGGTGAGTGATCACAGGGAATAGCATATTAGCATATATTTGTAGGTATCTACAAAACAGATGTGGAGGCACAGTTATGTATTAAAAAATAGTAGAGGCACAGTTATGTATCAAAGATCAGTATGAGCATACATTGAATGCTAGGCGCAGCAGCGGCACTGGTATATCTTAGAGCACACGACTAGGAAATCTGAAAAGGTCTAAAACTGGTATTTTCTGATCTCCGCATTCTGCGATGATTTTTCTTGTTCATGGTTCGAATCCCATCATAGTGCTGATCTTCCCTCTACACTACACTGCTGCTTGGATAGGCTCTTCTACTCTGTTCGTCTCTTCAAAACACTGTCCAGTTTTTGGCTAGCATGTGCTTGCAGTCACTGTTGTATTAGTTATCACTGACTTGCAAGGTGGTTGCATTTGCTCATCTGATCATTATGATTTATGAGCACACATATTTATTAACCTATGCGATCATCATTATATTTTATTGAAATGAGAACTATTTTTTGTTGCAACAGTACATAAGGCTGTGACACCATGCTATACTTCAAGTGTGTTTTATTCTCTTCATCCAACCTCCTTTTCTAGCTCTAGCAACCTACACTTTGTCCTCGCCTTCTTAATATATGTGGAGTATGCTCTGCAGCTAGCTACATCTCCACACTCTGGTTCAGCAACCATCATCTGTATATACCGTGGAGTGAAATCAGACTTGAGCAGTTTACACTGTCATTTCAATCCATTTTTTTTACCATGGTGTTGTAAGATGCAGATTTGCAATAAAATCTGCTTGGAGGATCTTATTGTTTTTTTTTGTCTCTTCCCAATTCCAGACATACAGTGGCAGCATCTTTCTGTGGAATTTCATTGGATATCTTTAAGTTGTTGTAATATCTTTATTAACAGGACATTGTTTTCTTTTGTAGGCATTCCCTTCACTACGAACTGACAGCAGCCTCATACAATTTAATCGCCAACTGAAGAGATGCGATTATGACTTGCAAGCCTGGAGGAATCTGGTGGAGCCACGAGCGACTGCTGAGCTTCGGAGGGGCTTTGACATCATGGATCTAGACAATGGTATCGGATGGGAACTCCTCACGTCGATGGTCCGGTACAAAGCACGGCAAAGGACCAGTGCTGAGGGCGCATTGGCACACCCATACTTTAACCGTGAAGGGCTCCTTGGCCTCTCGGTCATGCAAAACGCTCAACTGCAACTGTTCCGGGCAACCCAGAAGGACTACAGTGAAGCCGCTCGGTGGGTTATTGGCCTCATGGCAAGGTCAGGAACTGAAGATGTGGGAGGCTTTACAGAAGCACAGCTTCAAGAGCTTAGGGTACGTATAGCAGCCTTACCTATCCTTTTGAGGCATATGATTGCATACTAACTAGTAGTTTATAACACACAAAGGCTTGAAAATACGTACTGGAGTTATTGCTTTGTTCCAGAAGTTCTTAGACAAACAAGCTGAAGCTTTTCCTTTCAAATCACTAATCTTACATTACATAGAACACACAAAAGATTTGAAATGCCAATAGCTGTTGAAGCAGTTAGAACTTAGAAGACAGACAGCGTTTCGTTTCGTTTTCTGCATGCTCTGACACCTGGGATAAATCATAAACGTATGATCTGTCAGGAGAAGACCGAAGACTCACCACTTGTGTGTGTGCTTTTTCTCTGTGTCGTGCAGGAAATAAAACCAAAGAAAGGCAGAGCCCAGCGGAACGTGCTTGCCTCCGTGCTGCGCCTGCAGAAGAAGATCGTGAAAACGATCAACGAGAGCATGGACAAGCTCGCCAGCCAGCGCAAAAGCATCTGGTGGAGCCGGTGGATACCCAGGGAGGAGTAGGCCGCCGGCCGCCGGCGCACCTGTACATTGTCCACTTCTGCTGTATAAAGCGTCGCCCATTAGCACTGGTGATGGTATACTACACTATCCTACTTACTTCGTACAGTACATGATGATGACTGGTGAGTAAAATTTGTCTGAAAAGATCGGAGTAACACGATGTATAGCTGTAAATATTTTGCTATTGAAGCATCATGATTTTTGAGATCGCTGTCCTAAGTTCGTAGGCACTTTCATCAAAAAGTAGGTGGTGAGTTCATCATAAGCACTCAGCTCTGCTCCGCTTGAATATCCTGTGATTGGAGGTTGCCGAAGCTTTCTGCACTGGAAGAGCCTCCCTCGTGTCATATGTGGTGTACAAGATTCCATGACAGGTCATCATTTGTGCCGTGGCGCCATGATTGGGAGTTGGGACAGCGATCTTTTGAACTGTAGCAAAACGCTGCAGCTCGTGATGGCTGATGAATGAAGTTTATGGGGCAGTTGTGGAGTTGGAGACTTGGGAGTAGCAGTACCATATTGGCCCGGCCTTTCCTTTCTGTTGTTGCATTGCCAATTTGCCATTGCATTTACCCAAGTGGTCCTTCGTGGACCACGGTCCTCCTCTTGCCATTTTGCCCAGGGTGCCAACGACTGACTTGGCTGCGAGCTGCATTTACGTATCTGAGTACTATGGCCTTAACACATGGTAGTTTACCGGTGGATCACATTGAAGACCCGTGGCCGCGGCCCGCGGGTAGTGAGAATGCCTGTTCCCTGAATGTTCAGGTTCTTGAAGTGTGAGCAACGTAGCGTAGACCGTAGAGTTGAAGAGCGCAGAGGATCCTGCCAGGTAGTACTACAAACCAAGTAAAAGCCCACCACAGAGCAGCGTGAAGACTGGAGGAAGGGGACAGCCCAAAGCACCACACGAGAAGGGGCCCCCTTTGTTGTACCATCCGCCAAGCCGCCATGGACGGCTGGTCATGGGGCATGGCCTGGTCCAGATTCCAGAACATGTCGACATGGCATGTCAACACAGGGACCAGATGCCTGCCATTCCTTGTTCCTTGGGGAAACAGTCCAAGACACAGTTCAGTTCATATCCAAAACCGAATAGTAAGTAAAATAACAGAGGCACTGAGTTTTCACTAGACTATCACTTTATGCATGCCTTCTCTCTTCACGAAATGTTGATGAACACACTTTCTATTGTTTTCTTTTAAAAAAAATCAGATTTGTTGTGTCTTCTCCGGGTACTATACATTAGCACAGCAAAATGAAGCAATCTTCCTTTTTCTTAAAGAAATTAGAATGGGATTGAGTCTCCTTGTTAAAAAGGAATATCATCAGGATATAAAATCAAACCCTCACTGCCAACCACCGAACTGCATCCAAAAGGAGTTTAGGTGCTACTACAATTGTTGCGGGAGAAGTACTACTAGATGTCAAGTTAGCAACAACTATAGATTTATGGCTGCGCCTAAAACCTAGTAAATCCAAGCAATGATTGGGTACAACATAAATCAATAATGGCAGTGGTCAAGTGGTGTCAAATTGTCCGGCCATCCTGTCTTCATTTAGCAACGCGCAATGATCAGATTGGAAGGCTGGAAGCTAATCATGCCCTTCAGGTTGTTCACTTCTTTTTTTCTTTGGAATTCAGAATTTCCAGACTGAAGGCAAACAGCTAATCATGGTCATGGGCAGGAAACATCACTAAACCATTCGTTTTCTCCTTTTTTTTTTGGTTCCATGGTAGGAAAAGGGGCCCACATCCCAGCATCGGTTCGTTGGCCGACGCGGGAAGGCGTCCGTTCAGAGTGCCAGAAAGATGGCAACGGTCCCCTGATACCTGATACCCGTCGGTATTTGATCCATTAGGGGGCGAGGATAGAATCATATATTTACTCGTGGGCATCTAAATGGACAAGAATTCATCCTCGACGGGTATAGCAGGTACGGGAACGTTCCCTATTTATCCGTCCCTATTACCCGTTGGGGAACCCAACTATTTGAGCTGTCATGCGAGTATTAGGCCCGAAGAAGCTCAACATAGGTATTTTAGTCCAAATCTAAATAATCATATATATAGTTTGTGTGTTCTAGGAACCCTAGTTCAATTTTTCCTCATCATTTCCGCCAGCAGCACAAGCACGCCTGCCTCACGAGCGCTCGTGCCCCTTGCTTTCTCAGTTCGGTCTCTCTGCCATCTTTGCTCGTCCTCCTCGCAACCTCGCTCCTTCTCCTCGGCATCTCCGAGACTCGGACACTTATACCCGGGTGAAGAAGAAACGTCTCCGATTGCAAAGTTGCGACCCCAAGTGTCCTTATTTATCAGGTATGCAGTACCCGTCGGTTATCTGTTACCCGACTGATGCCCGACGGGTACGGGGATGGGCAATAATCTATACCCGAGACAGTTAACGGGGACGGAGACGAGATGAATTCTTCATAGCGGGAAAGAGAACGTTCCGTCGATATCCGACGGGTACATCCGTTGCCATCCCATATGCCCGACAACGAAGCGAGCAACCGTAAGGCAGAGAGAAGCATGACGCATGTAGCATGAAATACGTTTTTCACACGAGACCCTTCAGTTCTGTGAATTCATTCGTATATTTGTTATTAGTAGCATACATACTGAAATTGGCATGCTAAAAAGTAGGAGTACATCACAACTGTAGTTAACACTTAACAGTACCTCCTCAGTCCTCATCACAAATAATAAGTGAATCTTTTGTTGCCTGAAGTCAACTATTCATTTTTTATTTAAAAGTGATATGTGTGCATCTATATTAGAACTAGTTTTATATTTTTCACACTTTATTAGTTGGTCAAGGCATAGCTATGGTGACCATATCGAGGTTTAAAAGGTCAGTTTAACTATCGCTAAGTGGGTATAGAGGTGACGATCTCTATACACGGTGTAATGCAACGGCAAAAGCTAAAACGATATACGAGATACACTTGGCATATGGATGCATAAATTTGTGCTTCGGGTATATATATGGTAAAACTTTAGTCAAACACCATTTTTTTATGGATGTATTTGCACCCTTTAAATATAGTGTAGCGTTACCCTTGGTTCATGCCATGCCACCACGGCCAACGAGGAGAAAATACACAAATGTACAACATAACGACATCTTTATAGCGATGAACTTAGCTAGTTATAAAGTATTTATTTACGCCATGTTCGCTTGGTCGTAAACGATCGTAAATTTTTAGCCAGAACAGTATTTTTCTCTCACATCAAACCAGCCAGCAGTATACGATCGTTTTAGCCTAGCCGAACAGGCTGATATATCATACTTATGCTTAATATACAAGGAACAATTTGTACTATAAAGGTCAGTGGCGGAGCTCTCGGTATGACATGGTGGGGCCACTGTCATACCTTGAGTTTGTCCGTTGCCTACTGTAGTATGCCATTTTTATTTGCTAAAGACGCTATAAGCTATAATAATCCATGGTTTTGTAAGACCGCGCCATGCCTTAATTCTCACCTGTCCCCCGCTAGTGATGAATGTAGTTGACGTCGTGTGTTTGGATAAGGGAGTGTTCTTGCATGTAATTGAGTTCTTGTCAACAATGAAAGCATTGCCCCGTTCGGCTGGCTGAGTCTTGGCTGAAACTGGATGAAAACACTGTTCTGGCTGAACTGTTGTGAGAGAAAACACTGTTCCGGCTGAAAAAACAAACCGAACAAACCGAATATGGGGTAAGCCGAATGAGACCTTATATTATTATGTTATGCAATACACCGGGCATTCACCAATAATACATCTTAGTTAGCTATAAAACTATCCACATAGAAACTTTGTTTATGTAGCCGAAATATAACATCAAGAATGATAAAAGAGCTGATTACTTATTGATACATAGTCTACTTATTGCATGAATGTATTTTTGACTTGTCACATGTACACCTCTTATAATATGAAAAGAGCGACTATGGGGTGTTTGGATTCTATGGCAAAACTTTAGTCTTACACTTTTAGCCTTTTTTTTCCATGGGATCAAACAGGTAGACTAAAAGTGAGCAAATGGAGTGGACTAAAGTTTTGCTTATTTGTTACTCAAGCGGTGCAAAACTGGGCTAAAACGTTTTGATGGCGCGCTGGACACAAGATAGTCCCAACCCATCCACCTGCGCCTTCTCTCTCGCATGACTTAATTAAATGAGGGCAAATTAGTCATTGTAGGATGGATGACTAAACTTTTGCCATAGATCGAAACACCCTCTGCTGGACTAAAGTTTAACAGCTAAACTTTTGCCATGACAAATGGATCGAACATCATCTATAATCCACCGTCAGCTTTGCTCCTAATTATCTGCACCATCTGTCCTTTGACCTTTACACAAGTTTGACCTTTACACAAGTCAAAGATAGACCGCACTTCCATTAAATGACCAGCCTGTTCGTTTCGGCTGGATTGACTTATAAGTCCATAGCTAAAAGTACCATCGACTGATTTAGTATGAGAGGAGAATACTATTGGCTAACTGATAAGCCAAGCAAGATACAGGCAGTTACATGCTGCCGAACATGCTGAATGCTTCTACTCCATCTTATTTACCATGAAAGCCCATGGCATAAACCAAAAACACATTACTGCTAGGTCGAAGGGGTTTAATGCAAATCTAAGGCGTCTACTCACTCGAGACGCAGCCTTCTGGTTCTGGAAGCCTCGAACCTTCCTCCGCTCGTAAACCACGAGAGGGAAGTCGTCACTCCAGACGCACCCGCTCTCGTACGCAACTTCACAAAAAACAGCCTCGCCTTGTTCATTTTTACTCAGCTCGTTGGCGAAATTTTACGCGCCAGCAAAACCGCCCCGAGGAGGAAATAGAAAAAACCCGAATCATACGCGTCCCCCGGAACCAGAAGTCCAGAAAGGCCAGAAAGGAAGAGGAGAACAGCGGCGGGGAGGACGAAGCGGCCCGCCCAGGAAATGGCGTCGATGCAGAGCTGGCGCAAGGCCTACGGCGCCATCAAGGACACCACCACCGTTAG